ATGAAATATATTTATAAATATACAGTACATATACAATAATTGTTAAAATATGAGTTTTACTTTATTAATCTCTAAATAATTTGACATAAAACTGTATCGATATGTCTTCGGACATATTTTATGATTATCTAAGATTTCAAATTCTTTTGCTTCATGGATAGTAATTGCCAAATTTAGAACCCTCAGATGATTTGCTACCCATGAGGCAATTTCAAATTCATTTGACACATTTTTGAGTTTAATAAAGAGTTCTGGAGATAAAGTAAAAGATATAAAATTGTTATATATTAATATTACAGGCTTTAATCATTAATTTCGGATACACTTATCAAGAATGTACCCACTCTAAATAATAAAAATCAATTAAGAGTAGGTTTATTCTTGAAAGGGGTGTTCGAAATTGATAACTAAAACTTGTAGTTTATATTAACAAAATCTTCTTACCATTATTTAAGTACAATGTACTTGAATTTGCTGTGGCTGTATATAGTGCATTCCTTGTTATATTCTCTTCTACAGATCTTGAAGGTGAGAATAGCATTGTTGCAAGATCTCTTCTTGTAGATTTTAAAGATGTAAAATGTGATGTTTTTTTGGTTATCAACTCATTAAGGGAATCAAAATTGTCAACTAAAGGTGATTTTTATAAAGGAGATTTATTTAATATATTCAAACTTAACTCATATATAATTTTTTTAAAATAAAAATATTATACCATTATTGATAGAATAATTTAAACCATTTAAAATTAAATATAAAACATTTAGATAATATTAAAATAATTGCCTAAATTACATATATAATACATACTTGATGCCTCTGCATAACTATTATCTTTTCTTAAATCATTATTCCTTAAATCATTCTCCCTTAAGTCGTTTTTCCTTAAATCATCCTCTCTTAAATCATCACCATCTATAATTTCTTCAATTGAGTTTTTAATTTTTCATTCTTCTTCATTCATTTTGGAACCAAAGTCTAGTAATATACATCAAGAAAAGTATTATAAATTAGTAATACAATCATCCTCTCATACAATCACACAGTTGAGTACATAACAATAGTAAATTTTTTAAAAATGTGCTTATAAAGAGTTGTATCTATCTGGAAGTTTTTTTCTTATAAATTAAATCATAGTTTGACTTAAACATAAATGTGATTACATATAATAGAAGTGACTATATAAAAGAATGACTATATATATATATTTTTTATGCTCACTTATAATGATATTTATAAGAATATGTTAAAAAATAACATTCTAATAGAAGAACGTCTTCAAGTTCTAATGGGAGCTGCTTCTCTAACTAAAGCTGCTTCTTTAACTGAAGCTTCTTTTCTAACAGGAGTTTTTTTTCTAATAAAAGTTGCTTTTTTAACAGATGTTTTTTTTTTAGACAGTGTTTGTTTCTTTCTTGTATCTGTACAAAAATTATTTAGTATATTTAATAAAGGACTAAGAGAACTTTTAAACATATTAATTTACATGTGAATTTTTTCTTAGGAGCCATGATAATTAGTAACAAAAATATCTTGCAAGAAAGTAATTTATATATATCCCATTAGCCATATTAGCTTATTACGATAATATTACACATCACTTTTTAAAATATTATTATGTGTAAAATTTTTCTAGCTAATTAAATTATATTACTTATATTTGTATGTACTTTTTATTTTCGAAATAAATTTTTAACAAATACAATAAAAAAACTTAGTCTATTCTATAAAACGAACAAACAGAACTTCCAAACCCTTTCGCAGTCCTTATGTTCCAAAGTTGCGCAAAAAGCCAAAAAAATCACAAGAAATAAATATAAGAACTTTTGCAGATGTGGAATCTTTTGAAGAAACTGGTAAGATTGAAATTGATAATGAAGGAATAGACCAAATTGAAGAAATTAATAAAGTTGATGAAACTGGTGAAATTAGCGATAATGCTGAAGACAAAATTAAAGAAACTAGGGCAGATGAGATTAGGTTTTTTTCTTTCAATCTACAGTTTATAGCATTTAAATGTTCAATTATAAAATTTTATGCATTTTGTTTTTTTTTATATTGTTTTAAAGGAATTT